GGAAAAAATAATTAAAAAATCCTAGAGTTTAGGGTCACCTATGACAGGCTTAATGTCCTGATCTACGTTCACGTTTAATTTTAAAAACATTGGTACAAATATGTCAATTTTGATGAAAATAATTTAAGTATGCAATTAATACAAACTCACAAATAATTTTCTAATTTTCTTTTCAATCTTCTGAAACTAGAAAATCACAAAGAATATAATAGTCTCTTAAACATTATGAATTAACCAGCAATATATTTGATCAATCGGCTAAAATAATCGTATACAAATATAGTTTTTTTTTAATTCAAAATTATTAAGCTGCTCGAAGAAAAAAATTAAAATTTTAAATCACCATAAATTTTAGCAAAAAAATAAAATAAAATCATCTTTATCATTTCATGTCATTTTTTTTATGTATTTATCCCCTTAGTCCATTGTTATTAATGTGTTATCACCGTATTATAATAATATTTTAACATCGTAGCAGAAGAAATTACTAATCCATTAGATTAGAGAATATTTGGAGGAAATTAGGTTTTAAATTCTCATAAACCGCACGATTATATAGCTAAAGAAAATAGTCGTACCTAAAATTATCGTAACAATTACTGATATAATTATTAAGCTATTTCTTTAAAAATTACTACTAAAATAAGAAATTTCTTGATATCAATCAATTATTATATCCTTAATCAAAAATAATATTTTTTGTTTGTGACAAAGATAAGGACCACTTATACTTTGCCTTAATGATCATCCCAACTAGATTAAGTAATTAAACTCATCACTTTATTATATTGACTTCGTCAAATAGCTAATTTTTGTACTGAATAAACATTTTTTGCGTAAAGATAAAGAAAACACAACATTTAATAATGTCTGACCATTGTTTTCATAATAAAATCCAAACTAGCCAGTCATGAAAATTAGGTCATTAGATTAAATTTAAGTAATTTTTTGTATATTTACTTGTTCGTTATATTAAAAATGACCATCTATTTTTACTTATTCAGATTAAAAAAGTTAAATGATAATTTATCCTTATTAAATAATAACTATGGTTATTTTCAATGCATTTCTCAAATCATCAAATTTATTATATTAGAAAATTGATCGAAGAAAGACTCAAAATAGTTCCTCATCTTTAGGTTAAGATTTAAAGTGATCCTTGAATTTTCACACGGAACACTAATAGTCTCTCATGTTTGTAATATTGGTGCATATTTGGTCCTCTTCTAAAATTTTTGCATATTTTTTAACATTAATTTTGTCCAAAATTTTATATAAGGAATGTCCACTCGTCTTTTAATATATTTAATAGAAATAATAACTTATCTGAGAGAAATGATAAGACAAACATTTTTTTCTGTTCACGAGAAATATTACTGTAGCTAAACTAAGAATATTTTAACATATGAATTTGCAAGAAAAGAAAAAATTGTACTATTGCACGTGAAACTATCGTGATGAACCTCTTGATTTTACCTGCAATATGATTTCTACTAAAAAACAAAGTGTTTTTCTTCTCATTTTCTTTGATAAGGAGTTATTATTTCTACCAAATATATAAAATGACTATTGAACATCCCATACATAGGTTGTGGACAAAATCAATACCAAAAAATAGGTAAAATTTTAGAGTAGGACCAAAAATGTATCAATATTGCAAACAAGAGGGACTATTAGTGCTCTATGTAAAAATTCAAGGATCACTTTGATCATTAACCCAAAGAAGAGGGACTATTTTGATCCTTTCCTCAAAATTGAAATATTAAAATAATTATTATTTTATTAATTATTTAAATAACAATTTAATACTGGACATATAAAAATAGACGGATGAAACAAGTAGTTTAACCTAATGAATTAACGTGGTCTATGATGGTGAATAAATGGATCATGGGCATTGTCTCCAACATATCAACAGATAAACTAAATTATTGAATACTAATCGGTGATTTATTTAATTAATCAAGAAATTAAGAGAGAGAAAGGCTTGAAATTCTCTTAAATTGATAAAATATGTTTCATTATGATTAGTAGGCACATGAATTTGGGGATTTACATTCTACATAAAGTAATCTCTTTGATTTTATTTTTTCGTTCATTAAAATTAAGAAGAAATAAAAATAAAAAGAAGAATAAGCATATAGAGAAATCTATAATGAAAAATGATAGGACCAAAGTATATTTTCTACTTCTCTTAAAATAATTTGGTGTGTTAAAATATTTTCTAACTTTTCTTGAACAAATATTTTGATAAAAATCTACTTTTTTTTAAGCATAAATAGTTGTTAATTTGTAAGATCAAAACTTGTCATAACAACATTTCACTATAATAATCTTACTTTATTTAGAATCATATATTTCATATTATATTTTTCTGAGCATATTAGTATAAAATAAAATATTTAAATATTTGTGATAATCATCATTGATGTTAAGCATATATTATTTCAAAACTTGTTCATAAGCAATGCAACTTAAGTCTCATCTCAACTAATTTTAATATGTATATATATTATCGCTCATCAATATAATAACTATTTAATAACTCCGTTCATCAATATTTGAACAGATAAGAAGAAATCATCAAATATTCTTTTATCTACTCTGAAACTCAAATATGAAATATTATAATTTTTGACTCAACTCATTAACCACTAATGAATTAACATAAAAATCTCGTGAATTTCCAAAAAAGGATGTATTGAATTATTCATGGATCAAGGCATAGTGACATCTCAATTTTGTTTGTTTTTCAACTTTGGAATGTTTTAATTAACTTTACTATACTTAATTAGTCTAATCAAATGAGGTTATGGGCCTATGGGTTAGTCAATTATTTATTTTCTCAAAATTTTCTATATGTTAATGTTTCATTATCATCAAACATATGAAAGATACGCTATACTAGTTTGTTTCTTTGTCTTTTTTCAATTATTAAAATCTTTTCCTTGACTATAAGAACATTTGTATTATTTTTTTTAAAAAAAAAAGCTAAGAGAGGGTTAAGTATTATAACGATAATACACTATGATATAAAGTACAATTTGTTGAAAAGAGATTAATGTCAAATAGTAAAAATAAGGATTTTTATTTATGATTTTAAAGAAGCTTGTAAAAGAAAAATCTGACAAAAAATACAAGAGAGGGTATTGATCAAATGTCACTTTTTATTGATTTTTTAAAAATTATTTATAAAAAAACAACAATCATCTTATTTGGCTCATAAAAACAGACACGATGACATTTATTTTTACACCAGTTTTGTTTAGAAAAATAGTAAACCGTAAATAATATAAAGCACAAGAATTAAATTTTTAACAATTAGTATATTTTACACGCTCTTTATCATAAAGATATTGCTCTCAGATGCTTATCAAATTATTTTTCTTTTTATTCAAAAGTAAATGAATGCAATTGGACCATTTGCATTCAACAAAGTATAATGAACAATATATAGATCATTTTCCTTTGAGGCAAAAGAAAAAAGAAAAAGAGAATATATCAACATTAGGTAAAAGAGAGTGATTTGATTAATTAGTGGGTTAATGAAAAGGATCAAAATAAGATTAGAGACTTATAAAGAAAAGACATCCAAAAGGATATATACATGTGGTGGGTGCTGATAAAGATTGCATATTGATGAGACATACAACATATATATATATGTCTTTCATGTGACCAAAAGTATATGCTTAAGGAGTGTGTTTAGTATTATACATATATATATATAAGGAAAAAATATTATTTTTTTTCATAAAAATAAATGATTTATTTTTTGCTTATTTTCTAATGTTATAAAAATATCTATATGTAATTTAAATATATATAAAACAAATAGAGTTATAATATTGAATAAATAGTAAGGAAATAAAAATCACCTTCTTTATCTGATCGATAGAAAGTTAAAAACCTGAGACTAAAATGAGTTGAAATGATTCGGAGAAGAAAAAACAAATAAGTATTAGGGAATAAGGATGCACCAATAATATCTTTTCTTGTGGATTAATCCAGCATTGTTTTGACTCATAACAATTTGCTTTGTTTAAAATAAAAAATGACACAGTTAGAAATTTATTTTTTAAAAATACATGGATAAGATATATAAGGAAAAGCCAATCAGAGATAACTTCATTTTTTCCTCCTTTATTCTCTGAGTTCTTTTTTTTTTTTTTTTTAAGGAATCTTTTATTTGGGTGTATCTTAGTGATGGTACATAATAGACATGAAGACAACCAATAAATCCCTTGTTTGATAAGTAATAATAAAAGTGGACAAATTCAATTGAACTGTCTTTTGGGGATAATTTGGCTGCTAGTAATTTATGGTCCAAATTTTACATCCAAAATATATTTACCTAGCTTTTTTTATTATTATTTCTGTTAAATTTTAATTTGAGTTTTGAAGATTACCCTGCGTCTATGTAATAGCTTGTAAACCACATGGGAGAGGTAACCCGTACTAGTCAAGCCTGGTGTGACGAGCTTGACCCAGAAAGCAAATTCCTCACTTTCACTGGCAAGTGGTTTCGAACTTGAGACCTCCAACATGAAAATCTCAAGATCAAACCACTGGGCTACCCCGAAGGATTGTTTTTGATATATTTTATGCACCTTCTTTTCTATTTTTGTTTTTTGTTTAGGGAAGAGAGGGTACTATTCTTGGAGCTCTATGTGGGTCATAATTATGTAGCAAATGTAGAGGATTTAAATTTTTGGGATCATGAATCATAATCTTTTAACCCACCCTCCACCCCCACCCCCACCCATCTAGACTTTGTCAAAATATCAAAGGAACAATTCAAAAAATAGGAACTTCTTGGTTTGGGCAACCTTGGTCTAGTCAAACTTCAAAATATTATATGATGACAACTTTGAAATTATTAATTTGAACTCTAACCAACAAGTTTGAAATAATTTGAACAATATTCTTGGTGAGGAATAAAACACTTCATGACCTCAATGCAGGGGACATAAAACTTCCTTAAGGAACAATGTCAAACATTCCACAATCAAAACTGGAAAGTGTTATTGATTTGAAGGAGGAGGCCTGAAAGGGCGGAGCTACAAGTCTATCTACGTGTTTGGAACCTAGTAGCTTTGACCTAAACCTTGTATTCGTGGTTAAAAATCCACTCAAATATGTATAAATAGTTTATCAAGAATAAGTTGTATTTTCTAGAAATCAGAACTCATAAACTCTAAATCCTATCTCCGTCCTATAGAGGGGCTTGTCACTCATTGTTACAAATCATCCTATGCTTAGGGCAGGACCTGAATCGTCTTACTTGCATTCCCAAATAATGCCCTTCGGAGAAGAAAAACTATATGACTCACACAGTACCAATTTCATGAACAACTTACTACTACTCTACAAAATTATATCTTACTTCTGATTGAGTGTCTCTGTAGATGTTTTCTCTTGGACATGTTTGTTTGGGTTTAGCATTCGCATGCTTTTCTGTTTCTCTGCTTGAGCCATCTCAAGAAGTGCTTGCTTCTGCATGGCCTCCATCATCTCATCTTTTCTCTTCTCATCTCCCTTAAGTTGCATTTTCATTACTTCCTCTGCCTGCTGGTCTAAAGGCTTGAAATAATCAGTTATGGCCGTCTCCTGGAAATATTCAACCATTACTCAATCATCAATAACACAGGAGGTGTACTATAAGTAGCAGAAAAGTCATGAGTTGGAGAAGGTTGAACCAATCCCTATTTTACATTCAGCAAAATTAAGTTCCCCCTAACACCAGGAGACAATTAGTGATTCTGACTTAACAGATAGACGAGTATGGATTGGGAGCAATATTGATCGACACTCATGAGCCACTTGGCTTATTATTATTAGCATGGCCCCTTTCCCTTCTTTTCCTTTTCTCTCCCAGCTTTGGATCTATACATTCAATATTCAGAGTATCAGTGTACGGAGTGAATGTAGTTCTAGAGAACATGTTATTTAACCCCATTCTGAACCTTCCAGTTGAACGGGAGAACTCCCAGGCAGATAAGTAACATCTGCTCCAGACAACTTTGCCGGTAGATAACAGCTTGGACTTTGAATATTCATGAACTGCCAGTCTGCAGAAAGAAAAGGGATGGCGAGGGATCCATATTTTCTGAGAGGAGTGAATGTATAGTAAAGGTACAATGGCAGGAGTGAATAGACAACCAGATAAGAGAAGGATTTGCAGAGACAGATATAAAGAGAACAAACACACTTTTTTGTTATGGGTAGGTGGAAGTAAAATTTTTTTCAGAGGGATTCATTGTTGGAATTAACCATGACCAAATACTAAAAGAGATGGTAAAGAAGTTATAATAAACACGAGTCTTAAAGAGAAGTAAATTGATATCAGTAGAGAACTTGGCTCTTCTCTACCGCAAACTGAAGCAACACAAAAGCAAGGGATTCATCCTAATGAATTAACCTACTTCAGTCTGCAGCCTGTCACTTGACATCTTTTTCTCTCCCACTGGCAATTCAAACTAATAAGCCAACACTATGTTATACCATTTCAAATTTGACATGACAATCTTATCACCTTATGTTATTCACCTATATATATTGAGCAATTACTGCTAAGTTACACCTTTTGACCACACTCAATAGAGTAAGCTATTCAAACATCTTAATCTAAAAAATGCGCCATTGACAGTTTCACTGTAACGATTAAGGCAGTTGACAGCATGCTTCACAATCACGAAACACTAGAAATAAGAATCAAGAAGATTGTGAGCTTACAGTATCTTCTAACTTCTTATTTAAAGCTTGCATCTCTTCTACCATGCGTCTAACTTCTGATAAAATCATCTGCTCAGGAATCTTCCTTACAGCTGCCTTTCTCTCTTCTGCCTGATCAAACACATTGATACAGAGACAGGAATCAGAAAAAGGGTTTATAACTAAAAGCATGGCATTATATACAATCTATCAACTAATATTTTCAAAGACTGCAATTTGTCAAATTTCTTTGCGATAATCATCAAGGATTAATTAGTCTCCAGCCACAGCACCTATAGCGCTTTTTCTATACTTTCCGGGCGGGTGTACTGGGAACTGGAAGAAAACTTAAAATCATGAGGGGCCACCCATTTCCTACACAAAGTAGAAAATTCTGACCTTCAACCAGGGGGCCAAATGGCCAATCCAGGATTTTAATGACGTTGTGCAAATTACAAGTGCACACATTACTCTCTGTTTACAATGTTTTTATTTTTAATGATGACCGTGGTGTCCGGGCCAGCTTACGCACACCTCAACTAGTTCCACGGAATACCTTGCCACCTCTCACCAACAACAGTTACCAAGTAACTAACTCTATCCACTTAGGCTAGAAGAGATGAGAAGAATCAACTAGTGTTTTTTTGTCTCCACTACGTTTTGACCTTGAGGTTCTCAGCCACTTCTTCGACCACTAGGCCGCACAGCCACACCCTGGGTGCACAATGTGTATAGACTTCATAAACACTTCCGAAAATTTTCAATATATAAATATTATTGGAACCGGAGACAGGGGATTCAGCTGCCGACCATGAAGATGTTCCTATCCTCACCCTCACCAAACGAATAAAATAAAAAGATTCCTTGGTGCTCACGAGAAAAGGAAGCTTGTGATAGAACACAAGTATGCCTCAATGAAATCTTTAGCCCAAAGACTGAAGATTCTACAATCTACCTAATACAAACTTGCCAAGGAACAGACACAAATCTCAGGTAACAGATAAATTAAGGTCCAATAGCTGTCTTCGGTGATTTAAGATCGGATTTTTCCAGTTCAAAAAAAAATTTAGTATACCAAGTAAAGATCAAAGCTTTAATATACCATCAAGTAGTAACATGAAACTAAGAATTAAGAAGCCATATAATCCCAAAAGTTAACTGCAAAATTATATTAATTGATTTCCATTTCCAATTAACTGAACTTCCATTTCTAAGTAAATATGAATAGAATGAAAAAGACCTGTTGAAGACGCTGTTGAAGCTGTAACCGATACGATCGGATTTTACGCTCTTCATATCCCGACAGAACCCTAATATAGAACATCGCCTTTCGTCCGAACTCTATAAGCTTCTTCATTTACTTTAATTTTTTTTCCTATAACAAACCTCACAACTCCAATTAAGCAAAAATAGGAAACGGATTGCTCGAGTCGGAGTAATTTTCCTCTAGCCGAAGAAGAAGACAAGTCGCTCTCTCTGGGTTTTACTGCGACATGAATCGTTTAACCGGGTCAGACCCGGCTGTCCACAAATATAACCCGCCTAATTATTTGACGGACGGATGGACTATGAATAAAAAATTATTTATTTTTATATAACAAGATGTATTACAAATTAAGTTATTTATTACCAATTTTCTCTTATCTAAATTAGACTTTAACTTTTGCCCTTTCATTATGAGTTAAAAAATGGAATCGTAATCCATCCCATTTTCGTTTTCGTTATCTTGGAACTCCTATTGTAGTTGTTTTGACCATACAACACCCCAGTCGTATACAACTACCATAAATATCTGAAAACGCAGAATGAATGAGAAAAGGAGAAATTAAAATGGTCTTAAATGTTATCACAAGGAACTTTCCTTATCAATGTTAAGAAAAAAGCTTTAGAAGATAAAAAGGCTAGATGCTCAATCACACAGCCATAATGGCATGTCACACGACATTACATCACAGCCTATGCTAAAGTGAAGCAAGTATCAAACTATTAACATGCTTGTTTCAGGTGAACACAAGGAGTTATGGAAACCACAAGTTGAGAAGCAAATCTAGTTTCTCCTCTTCTTCTTCTTCTCTTCCTTCTCAGATGCATTCTTTAACTGCAAAAAAACGAGCACAAGAGTTCATTTTAATGGCCAAAACACTGAAATATCAGACATTTCATTCAGTAAGAAATTAATATAAGCATAAACATTAAAATATATCCTACCATGATGATCAGAATCCGCACAAAAACAGCGACAAAATCTGTGAAAAGGGTCAATGCATGCTTAACGTAATCCATATCACCCAAGTGAGCCTTCTCAATAATTTCTTGGGTGTCAAAGACGATGTAGCCCACAAACACCAAGAGTCCAAAATACAACTGCCAAACAAAAGGTGTGGTGTTGGTGGAAGAAAAATATTAGAGCAACTTGCAAATTAAACGATGCTATAAGTTGAAACTGCAGCACGCAGGAAACAATGCGTATACCTCAAACTTGAAAACAGCCATGGAACCACCAAAAATGGAGGATGCAAAGTGCAACCAGAAGAGAAGGGAGACGCCAGATGAAAGAAGGCCCCCGAGGTACAAGTACTCCCTGCGCCTTGCCAACATGGCAGCAGCTGAGAAGCAACCAAAAACCACAGCACAACCTACAAAAGCGCCAAACACAATGCTGCAATGGAAGAAAACTATGTATCAGAAAAGCCGATCTCAAGGATGTTATAACCATGAAGCTGCTATATAGTCGGTCCTAATATATAAGAATTGCACTAAACAGCTGACTCATACACTTAATAAGACACCACATACAGCGACACAGTTGAAATCAAGGAACAGACTGTCACCAATTGAATTAGGTTAGATTGCTCCCGAAAAAGACAGCATTCATTCTACGCCAACACATACAACGACACAGTTAAAATCAAGGAACAGACTGTTACCAATTGAATTAGGCTGGATTGATCCTGAAAAAGACAGCATTCATTCTACACCCTTTGCTAGTAGGGCTCACAACTCCCCCAAGTAAACTAGGACATTTTCTTGTGATGCTTTAGCATTTAAGAGAAAGGAAAACACAAATAAACAAATAAAAGAGCAAACAAGAAATGATGCATTCAAATGCAGCAGACACTGCAATCCAAATCGAGTACTGGAAATCTAGAGACCCGACCTAATACCTTGAGATCACACAACAAAGTTATCCCACTTCCAAATCAAAAGCTGAAAATCCCACAACAAAGGATCTCACACAGGCAGTTTAACATAGATAGATCACGACAATCAAAACTAACACACTAGAGAACAGGAACAATATTTTCAAATAGAAAAAACAACAATAAGAAAGAAGGAGACACACCTTGGATCGAAGTTAATGCCCAGCTCAATCAGAGGACCAATAGAGGCGCCTTCAAAAAGTGCAGCTGCCATCAGAAGAGCCACCCTTTTTTGCTGCTTCACCAAAATAACAAAAAGATAAGTTCAAATTCAATAACCACATGACCACAAAATTGCACAACTAAAGGAGGCCCACGGCAAGCAACTGCTAAGGTTTATAAGGCGGTACAGTTGGTGCGTACCTCTTGATAAGGAGGAGCTGAGAGAAGCCACACCATGCTTCCCATGCAAGCCATTGTTGTGAGGAGGCCACCGATATTCCATAGAATGTGAAGGTAAGCCCCAGCAGCCGATGCCACTAAAGCACAGCATAGCGTAAGGTACACCTGTAACCATAAAATTTATCAAGATCAAGATGACATTCACAAGCCATGGTAAAACGACATATACCGAAAAAATAAAAAGATAGGTACGTGTAACATATTCTTCCACATTGATACAATTCAACGCAGAAGTTCTCAATTTGTCATGAACTCACAAAACTAATCAATCAAAACGCTGCTTCAAGACCAGTCTTCTGATAGTAGTTATTTAAAAAACACGAGTTTTTGTTGATACACACAACAGTGTTGCAGTTAATTTTAAACTATAAAAATTAATTATTTTCGCTAACCTCAGTGGTTAAAATCTATTGTTATTTACAATATCTCATTAGTTTCACCATAAAAACGTCAATATGTTATCAAATTTTATTTAATTAGCACCTCATAATATAGAATGAACTTCAAACCATGTAAAAAAGAAGAACTATACAACAAAACCTCAATTCAATTTTCCCTCCTTTCAATGTGAATATGGAGAAGGTGAGAATTAGGGCTTCCACAAATTCCACAGCAAAACTAAAAATTAGGGCAATTTTCAACAAACAACAAATAATCCGATAAGTTACGTAGCCGCAGGATAAAACAATTTGATTCAAATCACCGAAAGCGTCCCAAATTCAACCGTGCAAATAACAAAACAGCAATCCAACCATAAGAACTCTCAAATGTCAACAACCCAAAAACAAACCACAATATCTACCTAAAAATTTGATAATACCGTAAGAAATCACAAATCTGTATCAAAATTAACAGAAAAGAAGAAATAACAATACCTGCTTGAGATGAGTTTGAACGAGAGGTGAGATCTGGCGGAAGTTTTTGAGAGAATCATAACTCCAGCGGTTGCGAGAGGCAGATTGCGAGTCGAAGAACGATGTGAAACCTTCCATTGTTCTCTTCTTCTTCTTCTTCGAGTTTTTGGAACTGAAATGAGCAAAGGATATTTATCTGAACGTAGACAATGTTATGTTTGCTATACCGATATGCGAAAGTCGTCTGCCTGTAAGGCGTTGAAGATGCGTTTATATAGTGTTGATATTCGGATAATTGATCGCTTCTCGAATTTACAGGAAATAATATGAAAATTCCAGCGTCAGTTCTTGTAACTTTACATTTATACCCTCACTGATTATTATTTTCTTTTCTTTATTACCTATCGGATATATTGAATTAAAAGTAATATTACTTTGTAAATTTTTAGTAAATTAATTGTCTACATTTGAAAATAAAAAATTTATCGGCTAGCCACATTTGTCTTTTGTCATTTGCTATTGATTTTAAGAAATATTTATACTATAAAATTATAAATGGATGCTATCGTCTACAATAAAATAAAACATGCATAAATTGGTTAAAAGCGATCCAATATTTAGCATTCCACAAGCTAAACAAAATTATATGGCTAATATTGACGAAAGAAAAATGAAATTTGGAAGAGAGTAGTAATTTAATTTAATTTTTAAACACAGGGGCAATTAAGGGAAATACTGAGTCGTTGGGTTCAGAAGAAACTAGAAGAACCAATTGTACAAGTATAACGTATAGGTTAAGTTATAATTTATCTCAAAAACTACAAGTTGGTTTTTGATAGAATTGACCGGGTGTCACCTCTACGTTTCCACGTATTTCAACCAATAAAAAACTGCCATGTCATCATCAGCATATAATCTCCTTTTCAAAGAGCATGTGTTAAAAATTAAAATAACAAAATAGTCTACTACTTTTGTAAAAATAAGCTTCTTTGAACCTTCAGAGAACAAAAGGTAGGAAATCAAGGAGGATGAAGAATCTGCTTGCCTTTTCTTGCAAGGAAACTGATGATGGTTTACGCATTACATAAACACCTAACGTGTAAAACGCTTTCATTCACTTCTTTGAATGACAGCATTTGATTCAAGTCACAGTTAGATACAACATCAGTAAAGCATATGATTACACTAAATTCAAGAGTTGTTGAAAGAATTACATGCATTGGTTAGATATTTTTACATGACAACTGGTAAAAAAGGAAGAAAAAGATAGGCTTCAATTAGTTACTTGTTACAATACTACACGTGACTGAGAATTTTCTGGTAGAGGAAGTGTAGATTCTAGGTCTTGGGACTCTTGGCTAAACCTTAGACGATGCAGCTTCTGCTTTCTCCATGTCTCGTAGCATGGGGCAAAGAACTCATGCCGTAGGGCTTCCTCGGCACTAATCCTCAATCTTGGGTTTGATGTTAAGCACTTGTCCACTAGATCGATAAGTGATTGGGGAATGATCTCCAGAAAATCTGATTTTCGGGTGTTTCTTGAACACCATTCTCGTAATTTTACAGGCGAGAGAGATTTCGTGTCAAACAAATCCTGTTTCATGGTAATGTACAATTCAAAACTATGGAGCTGAATGGAAAAAAAGAACAGTTCAAGGAAAAATTGGAACTTTTAGTACCGCTGGAAATGAAGACTCTCTGTTGTGTAGTTTGGCCACTTCCCACAAGTCTTCACTTCCTTTCAATTTCACTATTTCCTTTATGTTCCTAATTAGAAATTATGCAATAGTTAGCGAATTCCCATAATCATTTATCTTGTTCAAAGGCAATGAATACAAACAGTTTCTTACTGATCAGGATCTCCAGCAAATGGTGTTCGGCCAATAAGGAAATAGAGTAAAGTGACTCCAGCTGACCAAATATCAAGTTTTGTACCTTGATGTACAGATCTGAATAGCACCTGTTCATGCAACCATTACGAGTCCTCAATCAGTGGAATAAACAAAATATGATGATAATGGACAGTGAATATTTTTAATTATGTATTGAAGTTATAATGATGATGATGGTGTTAAGATGACAGCCACATTTCAACTTAAAACAAAAAGCAGCATGAATGAATATCTAGGCAACAGGCTAAATCACAGTGAGTGAAAATGAATACAAAATTAGCTAATTGCTATACTAACCTCTGGAGCTCTGAAACCCTTAGTTCCAACACAGGGTCCTTCTCGCTTTTGCATCCGGTCCCCTGGAAACAGTGGAAAATCAAACTCAGACCACAGTTCCAACCAAAACTAGTTACACAAAATAACAGACCTTTGCTTTTCAGTAAACCAGCACCACCAATGGCAATTCCAGATGAATGTAACGGCATTGGTGTTATGTAATACTTCTTTTCTACTCTTCCTGGAGTAGCAGCAACCCGCTTTCTCTTAGAAGTTGGACCATTTGTATCTACATGGCTTGAACGTTGGCGTACTTCCTGCACTAGGTTAATCAGCTCCTTCCTACCAGTACATGGAAGGGGTTCTCTCAACCTTTCTGCTGATGGAGTCCTATTGCTTGTGGCATCCTTTGCTGAGGTTATCCCCGAACCATCAGCACCTTGACTTTTTCTAATATTCCTATGTGCAATATCAGTGCCAACCTTTTCTTGGCCAGCCTTCCTTTTAAGGTTTTTGGATTGTATTGGAGACTTAACGCCTTTCATTGATTCCTCATTGATGCCTTCCTCAAGTTTTACAGTTGATCTTCTCTGTTTTATTGGAGGAAGAGACCTGGCAGGGGGAACAGGATCACTATTACAGCTTGTGGCATGGCTTGACTTTGTCTTGTCTGTATATTATATACATATGCAGTTCTTAGTGAACATTCAATTGCTAATATACAATAACAGAGAATGTAATAAAGATTGAACTTGAAGTATTCGACACTATTGGGAGTTAAAACAGTCTCAGGGTCACATTTTAATAGAGATCTTGGGACAATGTTGGATTTTGTCCATTTTCCCCTTAAAGAAGCTCATTCTTTTGTTGAAGAGAAACTTAAAATCATAATGTAATGGGGACTTGAAGCACAAGACATCTTTCAAGCGAAGGAAAACAACACGAAGAAGAAGTACCTGATGTTCCATATTTTTGGTGCAGATCCTATGTAGTAAATAACAAGGAAAATCAATTAGATTGTTCAAATGCAACAACATAACAGGAAGGAAATTTCTACGAAGTTGGATAGCCCACTCACCAGGGCTAGGTTAAAGTCAATGAGGTAGCCTTTATCAACCTTTCTTGAAAAAAGGAAGTTTCCAGGTTTAACATCTCTGTGAACAATACCCTGCATGTAAGAAAAATAGAAGTTAGTTGTGTTACCAGGAAATCCATTCAGTTCACATGCATCATTTCTGATATTCTTACCTGTTTATGTAAACCAGCAAGTGCCCTGAACATGCAAAAACCATACCACCGGAGCTGGGAAACATTCATATCCCTTTTCAAGACCTTAAGTATGAACCATGACAATAAACATGTTAACATAACAACTATTATATGTTTAAACTAGATAACTCAAAAAATTAAAGAGATCAACCTCTGGTCTATCATGCTCAACATGCTCTAAAACGAGGCAGTCAGAATTTCCATTCTTGAATGATCCTTCATACTTAATGACACAGTTCTTTCCCCTGTCATAAAGCAAAGGTTTTAGAAGAATTCCCATAGTGCATAAATAGCTATAGATATAATATTTGCATATATTCATGTTGTATCCATGGTTCCTCAAAACAATTTCCTACGTCATTACCCAAAGCGCTCGAGCATCTTTAACTCATTATGGACATGTTGTGTGTTAGCATTTGGGTGAGGACCTGCAAAGTAACAATCAACATCTCAATTATATTTATCACCATAAAAGCATCAAAATCAGTCCCCAGTTAAGGCAACTGAGGGCCATACATGGATGTGTATGAGAGAAACTCAATGATGAAAAGAGCATAGATACTCCCTTTTTTACCATTTCTTTTTTTGAGACAAGATACTCCATTTTACCATTTCTTTTTTTGAGACAAGATACTCCATTTTACCATTTCTTTGAAAATGAAACAATGTTTCAGCACGGGACAAAAAGCAAAACATGGTGCCACAAACAAAACATATAGTTCTACTTCTCAATTTTTTTGGGACTGACACACTTCTCTTTTTAGTCAATCATAAAAAGAGTAACACATTTCCTTAATTGGCAAACATTTAATGACCCTATCAACATTTTACCCATGTTGGGTTCCACTTATTTGGCAAAAAAGTTCATAAAGTACTTTTCTGTTTAAAATTAATTTATTCTAAGGATAGGTTTGGAATATAGCAAAGTCTTCCCATATTTCTTAAACTGTGTCAGTCAATCTAATCACATAAATCGGGACAGAGCGAGTAATAATGAAGACAGAAGAATGCCTCCCATCTTTTGATGCAACATCAACCTATACTACAATAAGTTCTCCCTTTGACCTTGCTCAATAAGGTTAGCGAGTATCAACCTACATCTTTCCACAGATATATCATGGAAGTTAACCAGTCAAGTTCAACAATATGGAAGAATGAAAACAGCATTCAACTGCTAAAGGATCCTAAATAGTTATACGATCAGATAAAGCAAATCAAAGAAATTTAAATTTAATATAATAAGCAAGTATTTGGGTGCATATCATACATTTAATTGCAAATTTCACTCCATCACTCTTTCTCCTTGCCCTGTACACCGTCCCATAACCACCTGCAAATAGTCATCAGGATTGTTAAAGGCATAAATTGGTAAAAAGTTCGGAATATACATTGCTACAATTGAAAGCCAGTCAAAGGTAAATACCTGAACCCTCTTCTTCCTCCACAATATAAGAGTCAAAGTTAGGCAATTGATTTTGCTCCGATTGGCTCTACAAAATAAGCAACTTGATGTTTACGTCATGATTTTACAGCAGTAGGCTTACCAAATACAAGTCAAATAAAATGATGCACTGGAGCTTACTTTTGCAGAGTTACATATGACATTCTCCGCATTTTCTTTTGGATTTTCCCTCCTCTCTTTAATGCCCATACCCAAGTCATAGTTCTGTTTGTGCTTCAGCTTCACAGGGATTGACGTTGCATCTCTTCTAAGTTGCTCTTTGTCAAGAAGCAGACTGGCAGCATTATGATCCTTTGGTTCCTTGGAATTCTGCGGCTCCTCGTGGTCCAATACATCCCTCTGAAAGGATTTTGAACTGGGCAATGATTTTCCCAGCTGCTTCTGACCAAAAGACTGTGAGCGCGCTAAGATGGCATGGCTCTGCAGAGGCTTATCATTTTTTGCTGTATCTATGTGGAGAAGTGAAGTCGAGCATTCTTTTGTAGCATTCTCTGCAGGCAAATCATCTTGAGGTGATATGAGCACCTTTGTTGTATGAGTCTCAGTGCAGTTAACTTTTATATTACTAACAGGATAAGAAGCTGGTTCTTCTTTGTTGCCTTCCACAAAATTTTCCTTTTGAATCATCCTTTCAAAGCCATAGACAGAAGCATCAGCTGCAGATGGCAAAATTTCCATTTCTTGGTCCAATATAGTACAGGAATTTATGCAAGAGTTTGTTTTCTTTTCTGTAGTACCAACCATCTCAGAAGCTGAACTGGCAAGGTGTGGATTCATCTGAAGCATGGAATCTGTGATACATTTAACTCTCGTTGATCTAGGGAATCTGAAGAGGCTATGACTAGGAACTTTAGATTTACAAATAGGAATATGTACAAGATTTGCTTCATCACTGTTCTCTCCCCTCTCTAACTTGTTTTTGCATTCATATTCAATACTCTGAAGTCCAGAACTTGATGATCTGGTACTACCATCAATTACCCGACAGGTTCTGAACATTTCATAAAATTCTCTGAAATTGCAACCCAATGACAATGGTACTCTTGTCAACTGATTCACGCCACACCTCGAATTGTCATTGGGAAGATATGCCTGTACCAGCAATGTTAGAGTATTAGAGACAACAAAGATGACTATTTTGAACTTTAGCATAAAATGGAACAAAGCAATACATTCTAATGAAAGCCAATTAAGAAGAAGAATCATGGAAATGGCGAGGCAAAGCAAGATTAACAGCCAAAATCCCAGATCTCCCTCAGTCTTGGATATAATAGAAAGAAAATTCTGAGAAGACTAATGTGTCATATTATCTAACAGGCCTTAGTGGTCTTCCATGTTATTATTTGATCCCAATTCAAGTTATGTAAGAAAATTCTGCAGTCGTCTAATTAACTTTTCATATGAATGATTTCTCATCTAAAAGTATGAAGTGTGTGAACTATCTCAATCAAATGTAAAAGCAATTAGAGATTAGAGACTTTTGATTATTTATATAAGGATTGTAATACACCCTCTGACGTGCAAGCCTAATTCTTCTCTTGGTATGTGAAAAATATCATGTTGATCTCAAACTCAAAAACTGTCTACCAGAGGTATATAAACCATGTCATCCAAAATCCTAAAAACTAGTAGGAAATAACACTTCTATTTATACATATTAGGTCTCTTGCATTATTCATCAATAGCTCAAGTGGACAGGAGGACATCTATTCCATGTCATTCAAGTCATACACTTATACAAGTTTCTAATGATCCATTCTCATATTTATTTGCATATGCTGTGAAGAATGGGAGCATCATGAAGAGCTGTAATTGACTATTAATGCCCACCAAAAAGGAAAAACTCTCCTAATCATAGAGTCATTAAGTCTATATTATCTGAGATCTATAATAGGGCCTCAATTGGCCAGACATTGAGTTTGCATCTGTTAAGCATCAGATCTAATCATGATCTGCTCAACGCATACTTATCACAAAAATCTTTTCATTCCAAGTCCAGACACTTATAATGTTTTCACCAATTTAAGTTTAGAAAACATTGACATTTATGTCATCAAATTAACAATCTCATTCACATATTTCTTATTTCAATTGAATGCTAATGCTAATTTTAATGGTTAGACAAAATTTCAGCATGCAGTATACCTTAACTAACTACAAAGGCTCACAAATTCTCAAATTAAAACATGAAAAGCTCCAAAATTACCTGTCTGAACATCCTCCATGCCATCGAAGGCAAAGGCATCATCATTTGACTTCTTCCTTCACCTGAAATAATCAAACAAAATACTCAAGTGAACCATAATCACAACACATAGACTAAAAGAACAGAAAATACCATGTCCTACCATCAAAATAATTGAAAAGTCCTCTTTTATTAACCACTTTTGAATACTCAACCTCCGATCCAGCTCTCTTCCTTTTCCTATAATAAGTCCTAGTTATACGCTCCGTCTGTCCTCTATCCGGGAGCTCCTGAAACTCCAGCTGAGCTACAAAAGCCGTAAACGCATCCGCATTTGCGAAGAATTTAACTGTTGATGTGAATCCGATGGAAGAAAACGTAACTAAGTAATTGTTCGTCAAATGAAGAGGAGAATTAGGAATCGAACAGAGAAATTCAATGAACTCCGGTGAAGCTGAAAATAAAATGCATTTCGATGAAAGCTCCGACGGCTGAGCTGGTCTTCCTGTTGATAATAGAAGAGCGAAAATGTGCCATGCTTTATGTACATCGGAGATGGCAGTGGCGGAGTCCAAGTCGGAGAATGAGGTTAATTGAAGTTCCATCGATTTTCAGATCTGAAGATGGAGAAAAAACATGAGGATTTTGCTTGCAGAGAAATGAGAGAAAGTGAAAAAAGGAAATTTAGAGATGAGTGAATAAGAGGGAGAAAGAGAGAGGAGCGGGAAATTGATTTGCTGTAGGGTTTGATAATCCCGCCAATTTCTTTTATAGGAAATTGAAAAAGATTAAACAAGAAAAAAAAATAAAGATAAAATAAGTTAAATAGACAGAAATTTGGGCTGGGCCTTTAAGCACATATTTACCCATATATTGGACATATTTACCCAAGTATCTATCGAAATTTTCACAAAGTTTATCTTTGAAAATTTGAGCAACTTTCACGTGTAACAAATATAAAAATCATATTCGTATGTTATAACTTATATATAACAAATATTAAAATCATATTTTTATGTTATAACTTGAGTTTACATAACTGCACTCCATAACAAACATAAATATGTATATTTCACTATACATATACAAAAGAAAGCAATTGTATAATTTATTTAATTTGTGCTTGTATAAAGTGAGAGTGGCAAACAAGATCTGGGAGAATGGGATGAAAATATATGTATTTACACAATTTTCTTTCGCTTTATACAAACACAAATGCATTTTATACATTTGTATTTATATAAAAAGAGAGTGGTGAGCACCAGGAGAGAAGCAAAATAGCAACAGTTTGCTATGGGGCCTAGTTAAATCAAGCTACGTCTATAAGCATTTTATTTGAATTAATAGTTTATCTTAAAATTTTGCTCATCATTTAATCACATTTTAATTGACTCAGTTGTATGAAATATGGTATCATTTTTCTGATCTTGTTTGTGTTTTATATACTATGGTTTATGGTAAATTTTTTATTCTGGGACTGTGGCACATGCGACAGGCAAAAAGAGCTGTTAATTTTCAAGAAAAAAGAGAACATGTATGAACTGAAAAATGGTGAGGATGAATACAAGGTATCACATCATAAAAATGATCAATTTACAAAGAAAGAAGAGAGCCAGCGAGCTCTACAGCAGTTCACCAACACTAAAAATTTTACAGTTAACTAAAAGAAAAACTATAATTCCATGAACGACGGGACTTTGAGTTTTTCTTAGACATCAACAGTTTCTGTAGAAGGTGAAGACATCAACAGTTTAAACAGAAACCCGGCCATTAACCCAATGAGTCCCACCAGAAGTGCAAACTTTAGAGAGAAGCCTGCGTCACTTCTCCGCCTTTTTTGTCTCTTCAGCACTTCCTGCAGTTCAGTGAGGCAACATATATGAGAGCAGTGGCCAACTATACGAAAGGAGATGCATGCAAGATGATAATAATTTAACTTAAGTTTCATTTATCCACAAATGAACAGTCTTAGATCAGAAATTTCTGAAGGTAAGATTTACTGTTGATATACAGCTATCTTCTTCTCGTGCTGTTTTTCCCATTAAGTTGAGTATAGTTTAATTTCTATGCGACCAGATAATTTCTTCACATGTGAAAGGGTAATTTCAAACCTTTCTCTCTCTTTTTGGTTCACAGAATTATCCTGTCTTTTTCCTATATCGAATGACTCTGTATAACGACCCAAGATTATAATGAACTAATAGCAAGTCAAATACATCACTTGCGATTTATCTTCTGCTGCTTTTCATGTATCAACTAGGATTAATCTGATCAGATAGTTCTATATATTGAGCAACCTTTGTGTACTATTGTACTATTAATTTGGACCAGCATATATTCTTACATGAAAGTAATTGTCATAACCATATAAATAGAAATATGTGTAGTACACTAACCAGTTCCTGTTGCAGCTGCTGCGTTTGTCGGAAAACTGCATCTCTTTCATCTCTGGCACGCTGCACTGCTTGACTCTATACCATCAAAGAGAAACCATATAGTACAATATCAAACTTGGGACAAAGATAAAATTATGCATCTCATGCACAAACTTGGAGATGGTGATTGCATTAAAATATTTTGTGTATGCATGATTTCCAAGCTGACTTAAAGTTTTGATTGGCCAACATAACCTCCATTTAATAAGAGCTAAAATACCTATCTTAAGTCACAATATTTCTTCGTCCCTAATATCGATAACAGAGCTTTATACACTATGCCATGTCAGTAATGAAAGCTTAAACTGAGAATGATTCATCCACAATTTGACTGAATTCTATATCTAGAGTTGCAGTTCTCTTTTTTCAAATTGAGAAGTAGAACCGTCTGTTTTGAAAAGTTTCATCTGGAATCAAGTGTGGTGATACAAGGCAACATGGCTCTGAAAAAATACTCTAAGATGGTATATGGCCCGTGATTTGACCAGGGTCTATGGGTATGGGCGAGAAGATCAAAGGTCATCTTGAAATTAAAGTGACTGATAAGCTTAGAGCCTAAGACAACTTCCCCAAAAGAAATTCTGTCAAATAATAAAAGCCTTGGCAATTGCTCCTTTCTTCAAATTTAGTCTTACATGGACTCCATATGAGGTCTCAATTTCCACAAGTAGTTCCTGAGGAGCAAGAAGAAAGAGTGTCTCCACCAAGGAAAGAAATGGTCAGAATCACGTTTTCACAAAGACCATCCTTGACTACCAAATTATCAAGTAAACCTTACACTGCTGTATCAGGTTCCACATAGTTCTTTTATCCTTGTTCTTAATGTCATTGACGCCAACAGCTATTCAGATAATAAAAGTTCCTGTATCTTCTATTTCTTAATGATGTAATGTTTCTTCTTAGGATTTGTTATAAGCAAAAAATTATGCACAATTTTTCATCTAGGAAGGAGAAGCGAAGTGAGATGGTAAATATCTGTTCTTCCATAATCACTTTATCCTCAAAAGGCACGACAATAATTGTTGTTCCTCCTTTCTCAAAAAAATTTGTCTTCATCAGGAAAATCTCGCAAACCCTCTTATCACAAAGACACAATAAAGCAAACACATAAAGCACCTGTCTCACACCCACTATCTAGAAAAGCCGAACATTTAAATTGAGCATGCAGAAAACCAGTGGAAAGACTACTTGCATTGTGAAATGTAGCAACACGTGGCTCTTATATAGAGGAAAAGAAAGGGGAAAAAGATGAAGACTGACAGGTTATTATGACTAAAACTTGTTCAAAATCTCCAGATATTATTAGAGAAAGTTTCCTTGAAAACCTTATGTGCATCTATACATTTCAGTCAACAATAGTTATATCTTAAAAAATCAAGCAGCGCGACTATTGGAAGAAGAAAGTAAGGACTTGAGATCTAAATTAGACTATGAGCTGAATTCAGAACTTACAGAGTTGCCATCAGAACTTTGTTTAAACGCATCTTCAGAATGTCCCGGAGATGAGTGAGGAGAGATGTAAACAACCCTAAGCTTGCACTCTTCTACATTTCTTCCACTATCCTTATTAAACTGGATTATGAAATAGTAGTCAATAGCATAGAGTAAAAATAAGAAGATAACAAACATTCTCACTTCAATCATATTACAGAATTCCATCAAATTCTTACAGTATCTGGAGGAAGTTCCTCAGCATCACTATTCACAATGGTGCTCTGTAAGAGGAACTTGTCCTTGCATTGCATGTCCGAGGGATACTCCTTTTGAGCTTGAAGGGTGACTGGAGACATTATTAAGTTAAGAATAATACAGGATGAGAACAATCATTAAACGGGCATCATTTTCGTTTCTTGATAAGTGAAAACATAAAACGATGTGAATGTCAGGATAGAACAACCAATTTCCTGGACAACGGAGATGTCACAAGAAGAAAATATTGAGTACAATGAGGTGAACCTAAATGGATATCTAACTGCATAGGCATCCTCTTAACAAAAAGAGGCATCACATAAGATTTTCATGTCACAGATTACAAATGGCCAAGTTGCAGAAATATTTGTCACAGAATATCTGTTCTCTTGGATTATTTTAGCATATGATTAGAGTATAATATCCTTATGTAATCATCATTGGAAATGGCGGATCCAGAATTTGAAGTTTCTGGCTTCCTACAACGACCTCAAGATAATATATAATAATACTTGGGTTCACAGTCAAGTATTTATGTATTTGTGGATTTCTTAAGACAAATACAGGGTTTGAGCAAAAGCTATTGGGTTCTCGTAAACCTGTAGGTTGAAGGCTAGATCCGCCCCAAATTGCAATCAAAGGGGGTTATATTTGCAATGAAGTAAAACCAACGAAAAGAAAATTGTGCCGTGCACGAGTGACGAGACAATACACTATGAGCCATTAAAATGATTCCAGGTCATAACTCTTAAAGATAAATTCATCCTACCTAAATTTGAATATTCCAATCAGCAAAAAGGAGTAAATTGATCCAAACCAATATTTGAACATCATGTGCATACATTTAATGCTGCTTTACTATATTTTCAGGCTAACGTTAGAAACTTTTGTGCAGGATATGTTTGCATAAATATTCTGCTACTACTTTCGATGCTAACTGTGATACAAAAGATTTTAGTGCTTCTAATAGAACTTCAAGATTCAGAGTGGCACCTCGTATAAAACATGAATCCCAAGGATGTATAACACCCGTGTTTGGACGAACAAAATACTTCTTAGGAGAAGTAGTTTTCACCTAGCAACAAAAATAAAACAGGATATATCTAGATATGAGTTGTAATAGTCATTAAAAATGTGATAAAACATATATGAGATTTTGACAAATTCAGATAAAGCATACCTTGAAAGCAACATAACTCTCTGTGCTGTTTGTAACTTTAAGATCACAGTAGCTTTGTTTCTCCAGCTCAACTAACACAGGAAAGCCAAGTGATATTAGGTATGGTAAGTGTATGCTACAAAAAGTATCAATAGAAGGCCTCTAACCTACAAGCCTCAAAGAAGGAAGAAAAAAAAATCCTTCATGCAACCCAAAGAACTCACTGAAGACAAAAAAAAAATTGCAAAAACATGTAAAGTACAAAGATCTCAATCATTTCGCCAGTTTAGTTGTGCTACTAATGTCTACTGATATGCTCTGTTGCATAAGAACATTAATATTTATTAGTTGCAAAGAAACATAACTAAGATATTACGTGTGTGAATGTGCGCCCGAGTCCTCCAATCGCTTCTGGCATTTATTCATCGTTCTTTATGGAGTGCAGAGGGTTATGCCAA